GTGCCTCTCCAACTGTATTTCCTTGCTCATTTACCTCTTTTTCTCTCAATTTTGTGTCTTTTTGTGTCAAGCAATAATAATACTAATTATTAGTAACAACCAACTTTTATGTAGAATAAATATGTATGCTTGTAATAATTGAAATTAACCCATTCGCTCCTGGAGATTTTGCCGAAAAATGCATTTTGAAGCTAGTCGAGTGGTTTTCTGGTCACTGTCGTTCTATAAAGAGCTAAAACTTACCACAAACTGGTTTACAGGTCGAACACTTCGTGGCCTTGTGATCCAGATGCAAAATATCAGCTTGCGAAGTTCGGGCATGTGCAGAAAGCAAAATTTCGACAGTTTTTGGGTTTAAAAGGGACACAGCAGTCTTGACTTTTACTTTTCGCTTTCTCTCCTCCCTTCTTTTTTCGCTTTTCTTGCCTCATTTTTTTTTTCTCTTGCTGGGCATTTAGTAGGCTTCATTTTGTGGGAAGAGTTTTTAGGAAAGCTTTTAGGATCTTAGGATTAGGGAGGGGGGCGTAAGGGGGGTACGAATACCGCAATACCGCACGTGGTAGCGCGAGAATACCGCAATACCGCATCAAAATTTAGCCAAATACCGAAACCGCAGTTACAAATGGGAAAAAGTTGACGTTGTCAATACTACAAACCCTCCTTTCAAATAGAAATAATACTTTTATGTCAGTGTTTCCAAATCAAGGTGCGTTGATGTCAAGCGTACGATAAACATAAGATCATCGCACTCGTTTAGCTTTGTTTATTACATGAATACGTTTACGTAAATGATACAACAGGAGTTTTCTAGTATCACTTTATATATTACTGGACTTGGATCATAAACGGACGGAAACTCGCAGTTGACTCTTGGTTGTTTCAGATTCACAATTAACTCGGTCTCTGTGTTGAGGGTTTCAAAACGACGACCCAGGCTGCCTTTTGGATTCGAAGGGCACACAGTACACACTAGCCTGCGTAGCATGGCGGTTTTGGTAAGGCGCGCTAAATAATAAGTCGAAATAAGGCGGGCGCGGGCGAGGAGATTGGGGCGGGAGCTGCTTCGCCGCTCACGGTGGTGCTGCCGACAAAACCATGTAAAACTGCCATGCCCGGGGTGGGGGGGTACTTGGTTAATATTTGGTTGGTATGTGCCGCTGGTCTCTCAGAGCCCCTACCCCATTACAGTCTATTCTGTGGCCAATTATAGACCCCATCTTAGTCATTTGAACAAATATTTAATTTTCGCGATCCCAACTTCGTCACTTTCTATTTTTATGAATTGACCTTGTTTTAGATTGAATGAAGTACACTTTACTTTTCATCTACAATACAAACATTCTGGTACCTTTGCTAACCGTAAATATGAGGAACTGTCTTACCCCAAAAAAGCAGAAAATGTGCGACCCCATTCTAAAAAAACTCTCTGAAAATGCGACCCCATTATAGTCAATCCAGTCGTGAAAATGCGACCCCATCAAGCGGCACATCCTCATTAGCCTCTTATCAGGAAGTAGGGTAATTCCTGCATGCACAACGAGAAGGACAAGTAGTAATTTTTAGACCACGCCATCTTTATAGATTATCTTTCTACACTACGCAATTTATAACGATCTCACTGACCTCAATATTTCCTTGAATATCTGACTGATCACTTCGTTGACCCCGCTGGATCGCTCTCTATTGTTTGGCGACTAGCACAAAAGTGGTGGTAAGATTGGTTTAAAGGAGGTTAACCAAGCTGACTATTCGTACAAGGTCCATGAAGTCATAAATAATGCGACATGTTTACGTATTATTGGATGAAAAAGTTAATGTCGTTAATCATATCAAGTATTAACTGAAATTAGAAGCCATACGATTTGTCTGCACTGTTTGCGCAATACAATCCCCGACTGTGCACACAGGTCACGCAGGCTAGCCAGGGAGACCTTTTAGGATTTGTATATCCTCTTGTCATGAAAAAGAAGCAGATCACCGCGACACAAAGATTTTTTCACCGACTACCGCGGCGTAAAATTTAAACTTACCGCAAACCGTTTGGACTCTGAAAACCGCAATACCGTACTTTGAAATAAAAATTACCGCAACACCGCATCAAAAATGACCCAATACCGCAATACCGCAAACCCTTACGCCCCCCTCATTAGGTGAAAGGAAAGGTAGGTGGGTAATGGAACAAGATTTTCATGGAGATTTTCAGGTCCTTGTCACGTGGTTTTTTGCTTCTTTCTCCGGTGTCCTTGACTGAATTGTGCTCATTATGGTATGGTTTGAAAGATCTCTTCACTCTGCACAAGTTAGTGAAGAAAGTTGTCCTTGACCGTTAAAACTGATGACGTCACAAAGGGTAGAAAGGACCTGGATCCGCACGGGCGGTTACGGGCAGTTCAGGGGCGAATGGGTTAATTTACTGCAGTAGTTGTTTAATACTGTTGTATTTCATACCTATTTTTTACTTTCCAGTATTGTTTCAAGTTTGATTGCACATAATGCAGATGTTAAGTTCTCCAATACAAGTGGCAAAAACAGGTGACTTATTTACTAGCTCTGGAATTGTGAATGTACACCACTAGCTGCCCCTTGTCAGTTTTTTCTTGTCAGTTACCTGATTACTACTGGCCCACTTGAAATAGCAGTCTCTGGTAAATTTTCCAGCTATAAAGAGGATTTTCTTTTTTAGCTCTGCAGTATTTGTGATTTCTCTGCCATTCATTAATTTCACCAGGAGAAATGCCTTTAAAAGCCGGTTTTCACTGGTGATGGAGTCGGAGTCGGAGTCGTAAGAGTGCTTATGACTTGGAGAAAATAAAAAACTGAGTTGTAAGCGTGACAGAATTGGAGTCAGAAGAATCAGAGCGTTTCCATTTTCTTCTGACCCCTCTTATGACTGTTGTTTACGATCAAGTGAAAACCAGATTGTCAGATTTGCAAGCAGAAGTGGAGGGATAAACCAATCACAATGCACGTTCCCACACTTTGCTTGTGACTCCAACGACCCAGTTTTCACTTAATTTAAACGACGGAGTTGTAAGTGGAATCAGAATGCTGTTTTCACTAGATCACAAAGTTCTCCGTCTCTAGTTAAAACCAGCCTTGATTTTTCGTGGTTATTTTAGCATGATGTTGGCCTGCTTTGGTGGTCATTTAAAGGTAGCTCTTCAGCTTTATGATCAAGGAGCATCACTAGATACAAGAGATAATGGTGGATCCTGCTGCCTTCACTGGGCAGTTGATGGTGGTAAACCTGGCTGCATACAATGGCTGTTGGATAAAGGAATTGAGGTGGGAAAAAAACTTTTAAGTGCTTAGGTGGCTGAGGGGTGTGGTTCAGATAAGGACACAGTTTAGAAAAGAAATGTGGGAAACTTAAAGATGACAAAATATTGAATAGATTAAAGAATTTGCTTACACCGTCCTTTTAAATGACAAACCTAGGTGTTGAAATGGATTTGGTATTTGCTCAGTAGAAATAGCAGTGCTAATTATTAAAGCAATTATTGAAGCTTGGATAATTTTGTCACCAGGTTGAAGTTGAAGATGAGTGTGGTTGTTCACCATTAATGAGACTTGGTATGTAAAGAAAAACATCCATCCAATTAATTTTAATTTTGTATTTTAAAAGTAGGGTACACTGAGTAAACATGATGTGTGGTTCAGCTAGTGTGTTTTCATCACACATAATTTGCACGAAAGGAAAGCAAAGTCTGGTAGAGAAAGAGAAGAAAGTATTAGATGTTCAGTTACCTCTTGCCCACATAGATCTAGGCTAGTAAAATGAAGCAGCATCTTGCCTTTCATTTATGCTCAAGGCTGTACTCTTTCTGTAGATGAAGAATAGTACAGTGCAAGAGTAATTAAGGTGCCACTAGTAGCCGCTAGGCACTGCTAGAGCTCAGCCTTGATGCTGCTTTTCTTTATGTTTTTTTGCCATTTAAAATTTTAGCATCAATAAATGGCAGTGTTGAGGTGGCCAAGATCTTGATTGAAAATGGAGCCAGTGTGAACAAAGTGGACAAACTCAAGAAAACTTCATTGATGGTAAAATAATAAGGACAAATATATTTTAGTCCTTTCCTTTCTTCTAGGTGCAGGTGTGCCAGACAAAATTTTAATTGGTAGCCCCATACGTTTTTTCAAGGAACTTGCCCCCTTATTTTATTGTGACTGTCATATTTTTGCCTCCTGAGCAGATATACATTTTTTCGGATTTTTAAATATCATTGTCACTGGTTTGTAGTTTACCTTTTTTATTATTATCATTGAAACCATCTTAATTGCATTGTGCCATGAGCGTCTGGTCACTGACAAAAAGATTAAGATAAAGAAAATCTTAACATTTGTTACATAGTTTGTGTTTCATGTCTTGTTTTTAGTCAGCTGCCCTAAATGGTGGTCTGGAACTGGTGAAACTTCTTGTTGAAAATGGAGCAAACATACATGCTGAAAACGAGGTTGGAGGTCACTCTCTGTTGCACATCTGTTTGTTCTTGACAGCAGCCAATTGTATTGTCTACTGTAGCTCTCAAACATTCATCTTTAGGGTCCCCTTCGTCTTCGGACTCCCTTTATTCTTTGGCGGAAGTTTTGCACTCCTTTATGGGTCACACATGAGTGATTCCTACATGGAGAACCACACACTTGTTGTGCATATTCAGACTTTTGCACCCCAGTAACAAAACACACCCACACCCATACACACACAAAGGTCTTTTGTTGTTATTGTTCACCTGGCCCCGGTTGTTGAAACGTTTGATAACTTTATCCACCGAATAAATCACTATCCAGTGGATAAGTATCAGGGAAACCAACTGCGTTATCCAATGAATAGGTGGATAGGCAGCGTTATCCACCTTTCGAACTACTGGGCCGGCTTGGTGAGTTGCACATACTTATTTATTCTATTTTGCTTTAAGTATGGGAAGACAGCTCTTGATTTTGCTGAGTCCTTTGGAAGAAAGGTAAGTAAAAAAATGAGAAGTGAGTTGATGTACTTGTGATTGATTATGGTGGCTAAATTACAGCAGGGAATTTAAGATACAGAACGGTGATGACAGCAAAAAGTGCTTTTAAATTGATTTTGCGTTGTTTTAAACTTCACCGCCATTATTCCAACCCACTTAACTTGTCAATTGTAACCGAAGTCTTCTGAATTTGAATTATTAAGACGGTCTCCAAGTTCAGAATGTGCGTCGTGTGATTACGGCTTCCGTTAAAACGTCGCATCAGAAAGTGAGCAGAGGTCAGTGGCAAGAAATGAACCAATAAAAGTGTGACACACGTGCTAGAACGTATTCACGCACGTGCCAGCAGCTACCAATACAATATTATGCCGCCATGACGTCATGTGAATAATTGTTTTAGTTATAATTCTTATGACGTCACGGCGGCATATTTGGTGTCTTGAAAAAGCACGCAATCTTCGATAATGCGAAAACGGTTATAGACGGCCAGTCATATGTTGTCTTTTCATATATATTTTGAATTCCAACTTTTTTCTTAGGAGATTGTTTCCTACTTGAAGTCATTGATGATGACAGAAAACTCTACAGAAGTTGATACTCAAGTGTCGCTTTCAGACATAGTGGACTCCAGTGAATAAACGACAACATGATATGAAGGAAATTCAGTTGAATGTTTCTTTTTCCTTTTACTGGTACCTCCTTGCCCGACCTTCTTTTGGGTAAAATAGTAAGTTCGTAATGTCCAACCAAATGCAATGAAGGATAGGAGCCCATTCCTGCGTAAACGTTGCTACTAAGTTCCCTAATTTGCGTCGATGTCTTCAGCTGTATCTGATGTTCTTTAAAGAATGTTTTAACGACGATGAATTTTGAATGCTTTTCTTTTAAGTTGAATCGGTATTTAATTATTCTTACGTTGTATTTTAAGTTGCAAATCACGTGCATAGGATTGTTTAATACGCACGGGGCTTGGATGAAAAAGGCTGCTGTCAATAAAATTAACTAAGATTGCTCTTGGTTAAGCGACCTTTTCCCGCCTAGTGTATTTTATATATTAAAATTTTAATTTTAATTTTATTGTAAACTACTTTAAAAAGTAGTTTACAATAACCCGAAAAAAAATTCTCGCTTGCAAATTGGTGGACAGCTATTTTTTATGAGAGTATACTCTATACACTAAAGTTAAATCACACCTTTGAAAATTCCTTCAAAATAGACTTTGAATAACATCGTAACGTTCCGGCAAAGGCCCCCCCCAAAACTCGAAACGCAAAAATCATCCTCCAAAGATGAAGCCTTGGAATATAAGCCCCCCAGGGAGCCTATATTTGGGAACTTCCCTTTTTTTCACAATGAGATCATTCTTGCTTTCTTTTTTAAATTATTTTAGTCTGTCCACACAACTTTATTCGTACCCCACTTTTCCGCGATATTGGTCAAAATCACCTACGAATTTTATTTTTATACGCGGCCGTTTGAACATCTCTATAGAAAAGTGGAGAGGCTAATTTTAGTTAATTCCAGTGCGGCGTCAGTAACAAGAAAACAAAATCTTAATGTTGTGGCAAAATGCCTGATTGCACAGCGCTGCATGAACAACCCTTCATTCTTTTTATAACAGGATGAACCCGGCACCGTGATGGTGAACGAGTGTCAAAGTTTTGCTGTCGTTGTGTTCAATTAAGTTTATTTCATTCTTTTAAAGCTTACGTGTTCGGAGGGATTCCGCCGTCGCAATTTGTGGTGGCCCAATATTATACTTTACACCTTTGTAACTGCCCACCAAGTTTGGCTTTTATGTCGCCGATAAAGACTTGGGAAAGCCGGCTGCATCTATAGTGTTTGACGATTTTTAAACCCCAACTTTCAGCCGTAAGTAAGCTCATATCGAAATGCTGTTTGAAAAAAAAAATTATGCCGGTACAAAAATCTTGGGATCACATGTTTCAATCTACTGATGAGCTGACGTGGTGGAAGTTTGAGTTTGCGGATGAGTGATTTGTTTGTATTTCAGGGACTGGGAACTATTTTTGCGATTGTTCCAATCTAGTTTTCTCACGGGGAATAAATTTATGCGATTCTTAGCAATTGTAAAATGTGTTTATTTGACTGATATACAGGTTCAATAAAATTCCAACAATAAATACCTTGACAGTTTCCATGTTATAACAATGGTCAGAGACGTCCATTTTAGTGATTATATTTGGCGGCTTTTTGAAAGAAACGGCGCAGTCTTCGCAAAAGTAGTACCCGAAATAATAAAGTTCGGGAAGCAGTCCCCCACCGTGCACTATTACATAATCCAAACATTGAGTTAGCGAGGTGAATTTTAACTGAACCTTTGTTCGGAAGCTAAAGAGGTAAACTGAAACTACACACATTTTACATCAACTAAGCACAAAATTCGCCCGCAGATTGGTGAATGAAAGTTTCAAACCATATCCGATCTAACATCGCATTCTCAGTCTCCTCAGTGATTTCACCTCTTTCATGAAAAGACACGGCACTTTTCCCAATCGATCATATGGACAGCACCCTGGATCTCTCTCTCTCCGCGGAAAACTTTAACTTAACTTTAACTAATTTTTTTTCTACTTCCTTTGTTTCGTAGATGAAGCTTTTGTTTCCGTAATCTTAGATCCCCAAAACTGAAACGGTCATTTGAGACAGGCTGACATGAATCCAAAGTTATTCTTGAAAGTCAAGCCGTTATTCGAGAAATCAAGTGCCGGTGTTACTGAAAATAAAATCCGTCATTTGAGAAGTTGAAACTCAAATACCATTTTGAAAACATTAGAACGTGTAGAGCGAGTCCCAACTAAAAAATCCACATGTCGTTCAAATTCCTAATTTGAAACTTAATAAAAACGGAAATTCGAATATAAAATATATAGAGTATTTGAGCTTACAGTAACCAGCGAGCTATAGGACATCAAACATGTCAAAAGCTTATCCAGGAGTATGATATGTAACAAATGTAAAACAGGGAAAAAAGTTACGTAGGAAATTTGATGCTTTTATTTGTCAGAGCTCGGTAGCAACTAGAGCGGACAAGAAACACAAGAATACCATAAAACGGAGGGGGTGGGGGTTATGGGTGTTTTCTTTCATAGGAAAAGAGATCATATGCTCTAATGGTTAGGATGGTGATTGGAAACTTTACACTCACTATTTTGCCGGAAGAAAATATATAACCAGGACAAGTTTTTTTGTACTAGCTTAATACTGGGTACGTCTTAAATATGCCTTTTTATAGAGGCCTATTTATAGGGCTAGGAAAATTCCTGGAATCTGTTTTTCTCATCCTCTCCCCTTCACTTCCTTGATTGGAAGAAAGGTTTACGATTTCCGCATTTCGTGGTTTGATGACATTGGCACATTGCCTTTCGTATTAAACTCTCTTTTTTTCAGTAAGAACTTTCTCGTCAGAACTTTGAGGTTGAGTAGGGGAAATTTTTGAGAAAAAATTTATCAAAAGAAACCAGTAAATTTTCACCAAAACATCTCGCCGCCGACGAAATCGCCACCAAGATGAGACTGACTTGCCAAGCTCTTTATATTGTTTTAAAGAGTCCCGTTTGTATATGTTGTAGTCAATTTTTTTTATCTCAGGTGATTTTTGTTTTTCTTTTGTTTTGGGCTATGGTAGTATATGTTATGAAGAAAAAGAAAAATGAAAATTACCTGAAATAGAAAATTAACTACAACATATACAAAACAAATGAAAGGAACTCAAAAAGATGAATTTTCTCTTAACCATTACTTTGTCATATTTTCTAAGAAATGAGTTGTGGTTGTCAGAGTATTATTAAAGGGCATGAGAAGTTCGATGAAGGATCGTGAATAATTAGGATCGAAGATAAGACGACAAAGTAAAAATGCTAGGTAAATAATCCAAGGTAATTAAATTGTATCAATTATTTCAAAGTTGTTTGGTGGTGGAAAATCAACTTCTTGGTGGTGAGATGACCGTACTACAAAATACAAAAAATAATATTTAACGATTATTGATCAGGTATTATTCCGACAGAAGAGCTCGAGGGTGTTATGGCCGAGGTGTGTAACATTCTCCATATCTGCATTATTCTTCATATTCTACCAAATAAATGTCTTGTTATTCATTTGAAATATTTCCATGTTCTTCATTTCTTGAAACTCCACAGCTTGCCACTACGTATTCTTGAAATCATTATTATTTCTTCTTTGCGTTGCTGTGAACCCTTTGGCTTCCACCAAAAACAAATCAGAGCTGCTGCGCCACCGCCTCGCGTGAAGTCAATCATTGACAACTTGCAATGTACACTATCACTGACGTCAGATTCTGGCGTCAATGTTGGTATAATCCAACTGTTATGAAGGGGTGTGATCACAGACAAAAAAACTATTTTGAATAAATGATAAATGCAAATAAAATTGGAAAATAATGTGTTAAAAACAAAAATAAACGAAGCGCGAACGTACGTCAGTCAGTTTAGGAAGTCCTTCAGCCTAAGCGCAAAAGGATGGAGCCGACGCTTACGATCACTGACCAGTTGTGAAATCGCATACATTTAATGGACAGTTACTGCATTTAGAGCCATCTTTAGATATGTGCATGAGCAACAATTATTTTTAGTCTGTCCTCTTAAAATTCTAAAGAGTGCATCTTTTTCCTCTTTCGCTTCGCTGAACAGGACTCAAAAAAACTTCGTGACGTTCGCTCGTCCTAAAGACAATACTAAAATCTGATTGGCTCTCCCCGAGCTTTCTGACATTTGATTGGTCAGGAAGCGAGTCACATGGCCTCTGAGTAGGCAGAATTGTGAATCCAATATGGCGGGTATTCACTGAACACGCATGATTACGAAACAAGCAAATTTTGGTTTAGTTTGAGGGTATCACAAGTATTTCAAAGCTGGAGTCGATAACTTTCCCCCTTGCTGCTATGGATGAATCGGAATATGAAAGCCTTCCAACAGAAAGAGTGACCGTTCATCTTGCTGCGGGCGCGCTGGCAGGCGTAATGGAGCACTGTGTGATGTACCCTGTTGACTGCGTGAAGGTACGATCAAACGGAATTTAGGAACTTGAGGTCCTTAATTAACGCAACTGTTACATAATCATGGCCTAACAGAGGTTTTGCTTGGGAATCGAACTCGTCCATCTTCTCGTTTGTGTTTCATTTAGTAAGCTCTTCCTTGCGCGTGTCACGTATTCCGTGATGTGGTTGTTGTCTTTAGTGTCTAAGCCGTTTTGTGAGTTTTTACCTCCAGTTTGTACTCTTATCGTCGAATTAGAGTGTTCAAATTCTTGCACGCTTTGTTCAATCCACCTAGTTTGCTTCTAATAGGACTACAATGTCTGTGTATTGTTAGGTAAACTACAGCGTATATGTAGGTATCCTCTTGGCTCTTATCCACTGATCAGTTAAGCTTCTAAACTCACGATATTTGTTTTGTAGGCAAATCAGTGAAAAATAAAATGTAACCAACGCTAAGAAAGACAGAATTTTTTTTCTACATTAACACAGCATCCTCGCTTAGATCTATGAACAAATACAGATAGATAATGCTTAATCCAATACGGTTTCTTAGAAACTTGAGTTAGTAGGGAGTAGTACAATTGCATCATTGACATGCCCGGGTTCATATTTCGCTGTGTTACAAGTGCTTAATACAATATATATTCTTTTCAGTTTGCATTGACCGTGACACTGCAGTATTATGGTCTTATTTTCATTGTTTTGTCTTAAATATCAATGAATAATTTGTTTGTTGTTTGTTGTGACCGTGCAGTTGAGCTGAGTTATTTATAGATACCATGTATCATCTGGGTTGTTTACACCAACGTTTTTTGTTAAGGCAGGACACCTGTTTTATCTCTTAACTTACGACAAATTCCATCTCTTCCCTTGAGAAGCAAATTTCTTGCTTTTTTTTTTCAATTGTATGTTGATATTTCGTCAGTAAATTTGTCAGATTCTTAAATGTTAAGTGTTAAATGATTTTCATTAGATATCTCCAAAGTCATGGCCAAAGTACCAAAGCCTATCTACCTGTGTTTATTGAATATTTTTAACCTAGACTGGCAGTGCTTATTAATGAAGCTGGTCACTAATTTGAGCTTTAGTGTATTTACTTTACAGGGCTCGAAATTAAAAAAATCTTCAGGTCGCCTTGTGGCGACCAACCGGAGAAATATAGTCGCCAGATGCAAATTTTTAGTCGCCAGTTTGTAAAATGTAAATGACGCAGCTCATAGGTACAGGGCTTCTGATATTTCGAGCAGGAGCAGAGCCGCGAAATTCACAAAAACACGCAAAATACCGCGAAATTCAGTAGAAATCCTGTCAAATACATGTCTGTACAACATATTTGAAACTTATCTCAGCTATTGGGGGCTATTTACTTGCCGTAAATCTTGATGCTTCGTCAATGAAACGTGCAAATAACGTCCCGAAACTACCAGGCGTAGATTATGTTGCGAAAATTGGGCACTAGCCATGATGTTAAAGGCTTTGCCATTGGTTCATTTCTGGAGCGTATTGTTGTTGAAAGAGCAAAGGATGACCCTGTTATTAAAACGCTAAAAATGCTGGTCTGATCGGCCAAAACCGATCGATATCTGACAAAATGTTCCCTCAAAAATAACCACAAAATCTGCCTTTTTTTTAAAACGCTAAAAATGCTGGTCTGATCGGCCAAAACCGATCGATATCTGACAAAATGTTCCCTCAAAAATAACCACAAAATCGGCCTTTTTTACCGATTGATTTTCGGCGAAGTTTGCCCCAAACATTCCCGCGAAAGTGCCGCAAAATCGGCCGATGTTTCCGCGAATTTGCCCCTAAAAATCCCGCGAAATTTGCCTTTTTTCCACTACCTATCAGAAGCCCAGCATAGTATGGCGCGATCCATCAGATTTGAAAATATCTTGAAGTCAGTATAAATTTGGAGGTAAACTGGCTTTGTTTATGTGATTGATTTGGCACATTTTCCATGATGAAAGAAAAGCAAGATAAGATGAAATGTTCGTTTTAATTTTACTCTTCTAAAATCTGGTCGCCACTTTGGCGACTTAACCAGAATTTTTAGTCCCCAAGGAAAAAATGTTAGTCGCATTGGTGACCGTATCAGTCGCAATTTCGAGCCCTGCTTTACCATTTTGGATGCAAACTGCATTGTGTGTTGAACAAATTAGATCTTAACATGTGACACCATTCGTAAGAGGACGGTAACAACTTCCCCTGACACTTAAATAACATAGTTATCGTGACACTAGTAATATTACAGAATCTGGCTGTAATTTTATGGGTGTTTCATTTAAGCCATGACAGTATGAAAAGCTTTTGACACTAGTCTTGTATCAACGTTGTTAATTTGTTTTCTTTGTAATGGATGGTCTTCAACCTTGCACTTTATGGTTTCCTAGTATTTAATATGTAACTAGCAGTAACCAATGGTTAGGAAGTGCGGGCGAACATGTACGTATACCTGAAAGGTACGATTGATGTTGAGAACTGCTTTCATAATAGACCATATTCGTCTTCCCCAATGGGCCTGGGACGAGTGGGCCCTTGAGCATGAATGCGATGCTAATGCAGGGAACCTCCTTCCAAGAGGCTCCTGGCGAGAAGTTCCCTGCATTAGACTTGCACTCTTGGCGAGAAGTTTCCCACATGAACCTTGCATTAATGCCCAAGGGCCTACTCATATGCATCCCAGGACTATCTGGGATAATATTGTCTACTGTTTACGTAAATAAGAAAGTGCCTATTAATAGTTCCAGTAGCAAACAGAAGGAATCACGGCGGATCATGAATATGGGAACCGAAGAGAACAACACAGTAAACAAGACTGTTGTTGAATTCAACTGCTTTAATCATAGTTACATAGATACAGATAGCCTTGCGAACGATTAGGAACGACTGAGGAGAGACAGCTAGCTGTATTCGCAGGCAAAGATAATGCCTGACAATGCCCATGTGAAATTAACACTCATAACAGCACAAACTCAAGGCTCGAACTCTTATTATTCATCAATCAGTGTTTGGTGACCAAAATTATTGAGATGCAACAGTGAATCATGAGAAAGAATAGGTCTGCAGGCTTGCTTCTGGCTCACCTGTAAATATTAATTATTTTGTTGTTTTACGTTGCAGACAAGAATGCAGAGTTTGCGTCCTCATCCAAATGCGATATACAGAAATATGCATCATGCATTCAAAAGTATGGTAACAAGAGAAGGTCTTTTAACTCCTTTCAGAGGAATTAATGTGGTAGCACTAGGAGCAGGACCAGCACATGCATTGTACTTTAGCACATATGAGGCAACTAAGAAGTTTATTAATGGCAATCAAACAACATATAACCCACTTTCACATGGTAGGTGCTCTGTTTAAATCTTCTTGGAAATACATGTCTATTAGTTAATAGATTTAGGATGGTACTTCTCGTGGAAAATGATTGGAAAGTAATTTTTAGCACACCAAGATGACTGTGGCGTCTTTGACCCAAATTCAACCATAGCTCTCAAAATTTTAAAACTTATAGAACGGGCTCACTGTCATCATTTTTTTAAGGGTTAGTGGTCCACAAGATTGTGAAGAAAATGGGGTAGAAAAGTCATACAAAATGGAACAAGTATTTTCTGACGACAATGTGAGGGTTAAGGACAAAACAAAATTGCAGTTCATCAGCTTTGATAATCCAGAAATGTCAAAATATTGTCTTAACTTATCGTCATTATTTAAATATGACAACGACAATTTTTTTTTCTGGTCTTTTGTTTTCTGCTCTGAAACTAGCATTTTTGAAATCTTTTATCTGTAAGCTACTTCTATTATTATCTTGTGTTATAATAATTTATGTGTATGTCAGGGGACCGTCCTTAAGCAGACAAAGAAGTAACAGAAATTTTCTGACTGGTTTTAATATTACCCCCTGATTGTTTTTGAACAGCACAGAATAAAGCAACTCTTTTTTAACAGTAGATCAATCAGTAGTTTTTAGTTTCCCCGAATTTTGAGGTAATAACCTTATATGCAGTTACAGTTATTTTGTGATTTTATCACCAATATCTGCCTTGATGAACAAAGATATTGTTCATTCTGTCCAAGTCCTTATCCCAAGAAATTATGTACACATTATCAGTCTAGGTTAGGCTTTTGTTGGCCTGCCATGTAAAAAATCACAATTAAAAATACTTTTCAAAGCTGACGTTATTAATTTGATGATAATTATTGCTTTATGCTACGACATGTGTGTTTGACTAACACCCTTAACATGCAGGGCAATTGGTGGCATTCAGCTGGAATTAGGTATTGTTAAGTAGAACAGTCATACTTTTATTTTATAGTTGCAGCTTACAAGATCTCCTTTGAGGAGAAATTCCTGTCATGGTTTGATTAGTTGATAAGATTTCAAGTGAATCTTTCAGTACTTGTAATCCACTTATTATTTATGACCTATTAATTAATGCTAATGTTCTCTTTTCCATCAATATAACTGTAGTTTTGCTTATAAAGGATCAAGTCATACAGTGTAGGATTTCTCTTTGATGTGCCTCTTTAATGTGGTCTGTTCCACAATGGCCATTTTGGTGGCCTTTTTGCAAGTTTAAGTTTAATTTAGTCTCTTCAGTAATGGCTAAATTCAGTAACATCAACTCTCACTGTGAACGTTATTTAGAGTGAAATTTCATTTGACCTGCAAGTCACTGCAATAAAAAGGTTACTCGAATTTAGGGCACATGAAAAGGCAAGCACTTATATTCTACCATAAAGAAACTGATAAACAGCGTGAAGAAGGGAAGGTAATGGAAATTGAAAGAAGATGAGTAGACTTAAGTTTCATATTTGATTTGATCCCAATTTTCAACAAATGGAAGTAAACTTGAAAAAGGTGGGGTACACTTTTTGATGTTTATAACGTACCATTCATTTTAATGTTCTCCAATATTACTCATCCATGTCTGTTGTTTATTTTCAATGTTTTTGATGATCCTAATAGTGATCAAATTGAAGTTTTCTCTTGTTACTTTTTTCAAAGAATCATCAATTCATAGTGAAGTATAGTTGCTTGTGTCACCCAACTGTTAGTTTTTGTTTTGGTAACTTGGCTCAGAGGGTTGACAATTGTTGATGACCTTAAACAGACTGATCCTAAGGCTGAGTTTATTTTCCTTCTGTAGGTCTTGCCGGTGTATGTGCGACAGTTTTCCATGATGGTGCTATGAATCCCATAGAAGGTGTATTGTCTCTTTATTTTTTACCATTTAAAAACGACCTGGAGTGTATTATCAGGTTAAAAACCTCAAGGCAAAGCCGAGAGTTTTTCCACCTGATAATGTACAACTGCAAGTTTTTTGAACAGCTTCAAAATCTCTGATGTAGATCAACTTGTAGTTATACTTTAGATTTGGGGTTATTTTGTTCTAAAAAATTAGACGTAAAGTTTAGCCTTGTCTTTATCAGATGTAAAGACACTCATATAAAACATTAATTTATTTCTTTTGTTTTTTCTTCGTGAATTATTAATGAGTTTTTGAATAATAATATCATTTCATGGGGCATTTCCTCATCATAGAGGCATACCATGTGAACCCAGTACTTTTTATTCTTTCTAGTTGGATTAAGCCTTGCGCAATTTAAAAGACTTTAAAAGTTATGAATTTGTTTTATATGATACAATACAAAGTTAAAGTTTTGGAATGTTAAAAGTTATTGAGAAAATTTATTTGCTTTATGAAGTTTACCAACTTAATGGAAGGGATCTATAGCATAAGTATAGTAATAAAGTTGATTGTACTGACATTGCTTCTTGTCTTCATTTCATGTTGCTCAACAAATCAGTGGTGAAGCAGAGGATGCAAGTTTATGGAAGCCCTTATCGTAGCGTACTTCACTGTGTCAGGACTGTTGTACGAGATGAAGGAGTAAGAGCCTTCTATCGCAGTTACACAACACAGCTCTCCATGAACATTCCCTTCCAGACTTTACATTTCACAGTGTATGAGTTTACACGAGAGACTATGAACCCAACTCGTGGATACGATCCAAAGACTCATGTAGTTGCTGGTGCAACAGCTGGTGCTGTGGCTGCGGCACTGACAACACCATTGGATGTAGCAAAGACATTACTGAATACACAGGAAAGAGGAGCAGTTGCCATTGTTGGCAAACCTGAAGGACATGCTGTTTATGTGAGTGGAATGTTAACAGCATTCCGCTCTATATACAGATTACGTGGTTTCTCTGGTTATTTCCAAGGACTTAGGGCCAGAGTTCTCTACCAGATGCCATCTTGTGCCATTTGCTGGTCCGTTTATGAATTCTTCAAACATTTCTTGCAGTTTGCAGAGACTGAAGCTGAGTATGAACTGTCACCAGTATGAACAGTTCCCACGGGAAGAATTTAAACTCTTGTGAAATCAGTTGTAAGGTCAGTAATACAAATCCAGATCATCTGCCATCACAGAGTACCTGGCAATTGTGCTGAGTGTTACAAGTTGGTCTTTCAAGGAATGTAGTAGTGGATAACATGTAGACAAAGAGTGAATTCTCGGCTGCAGAGGTTTTGTCAGAATTCAAGTCTTTTTATGCATTAGTCCCTGTAAAACAGAGACATGAGGTTGTCATTGCCCATATTCCAGTGATGGCTGTTATAGATTAGATGAAAAACCTAATGGAGGATGGTGAAAGACAAGAAAACCAGCTATTGAGCTACAGTACTCTTCCTTGTGGTAAAACAACATTGAAATTTGAAGTTGGTTCAAGAAGGTTTTTGGCTGCAAAGAATTCATACCTGTTCGTAATTTCCTGCTGTTGATGTGTTGTAATGATGAAATCAAAAGACTAAGAAAGTTATTTTGACTGCAGTGGTTTGCTGCAAGTTCCTGATTTCCTGTCCTTGATGTGTTGTGTATTGTTGTAAGTCAAGACTAAAAAAGGAATTTCGGCTGCAGAGGTTTCATGCCAGTTCCTTAATATTTCTTGTTGTTTATGTGTTGTTATGTTTCAAGTCAAAAGACTAAAGAAGGAATTTCGGCTGCAGAGATTTCATGCCAGTTCCTGATTTTTTATTGTTGATGTGGTGTAATGTTTAACATTTCTAGCTGTATGTCATTGATGTGAAACTGTAATAGATTTTAATGCTATTGTTTTAGGCAGTAACTATGCCTGCATTTTGAGAGAAATAACATTTCGTTACGTAATTTTGTTTACCATGACAAAACAAAAATAATGGTTGAAACACAATGATGATTGACAATCTGAGAGTGGCTGCTCTTATTTAAACACAGTTCCCACTGCAGAGATGAAGATAGGACTTTTCTGCTGGGTTTCTGTCAAATTTTCCACTTAAACTGGTATGAGATAGCAAAAAAAAATACTGCTTTGTTGAAAAATAGACATAATATCCTTTCCAGAAGCTCGGCAACAGAGGGGTTTGCCAGTTTCCTAAAAAAATAGTTAAAAAAATAATTTTGTAGAAAATAAAATGATTAACAATATTACTGAAAGTGTTTACTCTGTTTGAGTGATATTACGTTGTGCTGCACCATCTCCCTTTCCTGTAATGACGTCTCACATGAATCCCTTTCTTCTTAACTTCATTTAGCCAACTCCACACAAATATGGCCTCTTTTCATTCTGGTTATAGAAGCCCTGTAAAAACCTTCCACTCCCAACGCGCTTCGCTTTGAAACAGAAGCTTGGGGCAACTCAGAAATAACCTATTTTAGAACTAGCACGACTCAAGTCGTCCTTGCTTTTATGTACTCACCTGAAGCCACTCCCGCTTTTAAAATTATGTCAACAGTGACTAGAGCTCAAACAAAGACATTTCTTAAAAGCCATTTCCAATTCGTCTATTGCTCTTTCTCTCTGAATCATTTGGAATTGAAACGACAAATACGTTTATACACTCCCGTAGTTCCTCGAAAATCTATAACCGTTTGCAGACCGCAACGGCGCAAAAACCAGACCCTTTGGGGCGGCACATACTTATACGGCTTTTATAATGCAGTACCCCTCCGTGGTTTATTGTGTGATTAACCATAAATCCAGGGGAGCTCATTCCATTGCGTTGATTAACCAGGGGAAGAAAGCTGAAGAAGCTATTGGCATGTTCGTTCAATTTGAATGTCTCGGTGGCCTTAAAAGTATTAGGAGTTGCCAGCTCTTGAGGGTACCAGGCAAAGGCGGAAGCAAGGTATCAGTATCTCTGATCCGCTCCGTTGAGAAACGAAGCCTCGAAATCATTTGGCCTATTTGTACTTAGCTTTAGTACAACCTTTTGGTCATTTATTAATAGCACTAAATGGTTAATTTTACAATTATGAAAGCAAACAAACCAACTGCAACTCCCAATTGCTACTTTATATCATCGTTCGTTGGGCGGCAAAGTCCCAAAAGCTATTTTTTTGGCCAAAAATTACACCTCTTCGTCGTCTTTTTTTTAGGCAAAAAATTGTTTTATTAAAGTTACAGCAATAGGGCAATTGCACGATGACGTCATTTTACTACAACTACCAGAATCCTTGAGTTTGTTGTTTTCTTGTGCAAATTAAGGCTTTTGTTCTTTAATCCTCAGCGGGATTGACAAATTTAAATAACAAAGCAAAACCGAAATGAATTCTGGTAGTTGTAGTCAAATATCGTCATCATACAATTGTACTATTCTCAAGGCAAAACGACCTCTCACCTCTGTATTCTTTCAGCAAACATATGACGCAAATGTGACGCAGGTATTTCCATGGCGACTCCTTACATGACCATTTATAACCCAAAATTCCCCCAAAAATATGCCCTAGTCATGACGCAAAGGGTTACGGAAGCGATTTGCATCACGTGACCTAGATATTTGACACTCTAAGGACATGTAAGGCCTAGCTTGACTTGACCCAAGGGGCTTTCAGGGGCTTGCAAATGGTGCTTTGACCTCCAAGTAAGTTAGTTCAACAGTTAGGGTTAGGACTGGCCTCGGGCTCTGAGGGTTTGCGCTTCAACAAGTCACATGACAAGTATTTTCATCCACACTGCAACACTTTAGTGTGACTAGCTATACGCTACTGCGTATGTTGAATATAAAATATTTCGCACTTTTATTTCTCCCTTACTTATAGTGTTTGGTTTAACATGGAGCTCTGCGAGGCTTGTAACAACTAGCCTCCCTATCCAAGCCCTTATCTTTTGCTTCGGTTGACACAAAACTTTCCAGTATTACTCTTACTGCAAATTATCGTTAGTTTGCAGAGTTTGCCATATCGAAATGTTTTAACGATTACATCATAAAGCTTTTAAAAACACTAGAAACAATGGAACACTGCCAAAGGTCAAAATGGATTTTGCTCGCCGCAGTTTATATTTTTTTACGAGTCTCGATTTTTAATTCATTGTCTTTAACTTTAAGAAACATCTGAAACATTGATACTTGAGTTTTATTTAGGAAATCCTTGGGCAATTATAACCCGTAATTTGTATTGTAGTTTTTAACTTAGTGCATGTTTACTTTTTTATTGTATATTTTATTTTATGGGATATTTTAGTAATTCTCGTCAGGAACCTGTTGATTACAGTACTTTGAACTGAATGGTTATCCTGGATAAATATTCGATTAATATTTCAATACCCACAATCACTCACTAATTATGACACCCGTGGCCACTCCAACTAATTGGCCATTTTAGTCCCCACCCTTGGTTCTCTTGAGTACAATTGTTAAAACAGCCTTCAGCTGCAGTTAATATTTGTACACCCGGGCAGTGCTTGTCTTGGAAATAAGGATAGCAAGCTGTATTTGCATGCTCTTACTTTGATCTCATAGAGTACAATGGAAGACACGCTAATGAGGTATTTCTAAATTTCCTCCTAATTCACCATTTCAACAGTGCCCAGTAACACACTCTGTGCAAAGTTCTTGTTTCCAAATGCCCGTGGGAATATGAAAGAGACTCCTGGGGACGAGTCACAGACGAGCTTGTCACGAGAGAGCGAGAGGCGCAGAAAGCGTAAAAAAAAAAAACGGAGAGAACCTCAACTTTTTCTTCTCGGGTTTACGCCCTCGTTGCTAGCGTTGCAGAAGGCGTAAAATACGTGATTTGGGAGAGGAAGTTGGGAAGACTGAAGGATAAGTGCCTCTTTTAAGGCAAGTGTTCCCCTACAAGCTTGGTTCACCGTTCAGGGACCGCGCAGTGGGTGGAGCTGGGGGGGGGCTTTAGCCTCCCCCATTTTTTTTTGCTGTTGATGTTAGAACATTGAATGTTCAACTGGAAATATTTAAGGCGTTGATGAAGGACGGAGAATTAACCTATTTTGATGACATTTTAGCCAAGATCAAGCAGCTTTCTGAAGCCGAAAAGTGAATGATAACTGAAATCATAACCCTATGTAAACTTCTTCTTGTAAATCCAGCAACCAGTGAAGCAGGCGAGAGATCCTTTTCTTCTGCTCGGAGACTGAAAACGTGGCTACGCTCGACGATGACACAAACAAGATTTAGCAATCTGACAATACTTAATGCCCACAAGCAGAGAACAGACAAACTTTGTCTTATAGATGTTGCCAATGAGTTTGCAGCTCTCAATGAAAATCGAAAAAGCAACTTTGGCATCTTCAAAGAATCCGACTTAAAAATGTCCGGGTGACACTCATCCGTTGTGTCTGTTGGGTTTAGCTTAGAAGTGAGTCTATTCATTTAAATTTGGTCAAACGTGAAGGCCAGTTTGTTACTCGTTGTTTTATAAGAATTGAAAATTAACTTCACTTTTGGCAGTTTTAGATCCATTTCTAGCCATTTCAGAAGACTTCAAGTTCAAATTTTCCGGGGGGGAGCATATTTTCCGGGGGAGCATGCCCCCGTACCCCCCCTAGTTGGCTCACGCTAACGCGTTCGCATTAGCCCACCCACTTGCCGTTGCCCGTGTAGCCAGAGAATCCTTTGCGAGCTCCCGCTGCAAGTTTCGAGCTAAGTTAACACAGGGAGGCTTGCGTGATTTGGTAAAGGGAACGCTTAGTAGTCATCAGTGGTTACAAGCTTCTATTGAGAGAACCTCATATCATAACTCAAAACTGTGTTTAGCCCCACAATTCAAACGCGTAAAAGTTATTACTATTGGCCTGCCCGCGAGGGCAACGCCCAGTTGGAAAATGGAGGCCACCTCGTCTGTGCAGCAAAATGACAAAACGGCGGATGGAACTCCCAGAAGGCTTTGCGTGTCCCATTCTGCCTACAATGGGGCCCATTTTTGAGGGGAGGGGACTGGTCATTTCAGTTCGTCTGGCGAAACGATTTGGGAGTCGAACTCAAAATTGTTGCGTGGAGTTATTGCCCCTAGGTCTACACCGAATGATTATCTAAATACAGAATTCGATGATGTTGTTAGCGTGTAGCCTGCCTAGCAGGCGCTTGGAAGTAGTGGGTGAAAGAGAGAACGGGCGCGCGCGAAGGAGTGTCTTGTGCCCACTACTTCCAAGCGACTGCTACGCAGGCTATTAGCCTGTGCGGGAGCTGCAGAAACAATGCCCTCCCACGGCCCCCAGAGGAAAAGCCCTGACTTGTTGCAATTCTCTTCCTGCCTGCACGCTAAAGTCTTTCCTTTCAAGAAAGGAATAATCAATATGCTATTTGTAGATCGCCCCGTCAAACAGAAAGATACCCACTTCCGATAGTCAGAAAGGCTTTAAATGCAATATCCGACCAAAATAAAACTGAAACTTAATTTGCTTTGAGAGTTTTAAGGAACAGAAAATTACTGTTAACAAAAGTAATTAACACACCAAAATTGACTCTGTCACATTTTATAAGCATAGAACGACAATAATTTGTGGGATTTCCGGTTAGAAATTATTATAATCTATACTTCCCAAAATAATAAACCACTGCATCATGCAGTCAGCAGCCTAATAAACCCCTACTATATGGGGGTCTTGAAAATTTGTCTGCTTCACTGTCTCAGAAGCGCACACATTGCAACTTTCCCTCTCGGCCCCTTGCAAGCCAAAGAAATAATCTGTCCATACCAGTCTACAGATGTTCACTTCAGAAAAAGACAACCAAAGCATTATAATGGGAGTTAGACAAGTGTTTCTCTAATGATCCGGTAGCTTGTTAATTATCCGTGCTTTCACCCCTTCCCCTTTTGAATGAAAGGTAGGGAAGATCATTGGTTTTTTTCCGTGTGTTTTGTTCTTTTTGTGATCGAGCCATTTTTTGCCGTGCAGAGTCTGCATACAGAAATGATAGAGGCAAAGGTAAAGCGAATGAAAACAATTCTTCCTGTAACAGAAACAACATTTAACACCATGTTCGCGTTTCAAAGCATTTAAAAGAAGCCAGAAGCCATAAATATGACATTTTTGTCATCCGCAAGCCTGCCTCTCAAATTGACATTTCACTGTTTTATTTTAGCTTTTTAACGTGTGTATTTTGCATTTTAACCATACTTTACATGTAAAAGT